TATTCAATAAGTGAAAATAAAATAAACAATAAAAGGTGAATCAAATGGACCATTATGGCAAGGCTGGGATAGGCAAATTTGGTAAAGTAAATCCATTGGGCATCTTTCTTTGCCTTTAGACAACAATTCTGATGGCAAAAGAGCCAAACGGGACAGGCAAAAAAAATAAATAAAAATAAGACACTTTCTCACTACATTTTCAAACTAAGCAAGCTTTTCTTTAAATATGTATTATTAATAGGCATTCAGTTTCTCATTGCTGTAATGGAGATGTAATCAATGTCCAGTCTTTTAGATAACTCTTTATTGTCATTGCAGAGTCATACTAAGTACAGCACTACAATGAAATTGGAAATCTGTCCTATGTCGGCACTAAATATAACACAACACGATACGATACAAAACATCACAGCGCAACACAAACAACACAACACAGTAACTGAACTTAGTAATAAAAAATGAAGAAAAAGTGTATGTGTATTGCACACTGTTATTATTGCACATTAATTATTATTGCACCTTGTTATAAATATAATTATTATTACTGTTATTGTTTTTACCGTATAACAGTATATTTAAGGTTAGTTAAAGATTGTGTCTTTGGTACAATGTTGCATTATATTATTTCCATTGTTTTGTCCCTCAAAGCAGGACTATATTCTTTCTCTACCCCTAACCAAGGGTGGGGAAAGAAAGATGACTAAAGATGAACTATGCCAGCAGGCAGAATGACAGCCAGCAGTGTTTTTAACTTTTAAGACTCCAGTTTTAAAGCTTATTCAATGCAATAGTTTATTTTCATGTACATACGTATACACTGAATATTGAGCTTCTTCCATTTCTCAGCTGTGCATTTAATCGTGGCTTCTCCTTCTAGTTAAGCACTGATAAGTTACTTTACAGTCAGATTCAGTATTCCCTATAATAAGGAGTTAGTAGTAACTCAATGGTCATAAACGTATTTATCCCTTGTATTCATGATCCAAGCTCTAGTGCTGTGTAAAAGTAAATATAAACAGAATGCAATGATTTAAAAATTTCATAAACCCAGATTTTTTCACCATAAAACATTTGTCTTAGATATCCTATACAATCTTCCTTTAAGACTGCTTTGTCAAACAAACTGCCAATTCTGATTCAAACAGCCCACTGAACAACTGATATTACTTATGATCTCTCCTTTTGATATATATCCTTCTGTTATGCTCAGAAAGTGGTTAGCACTCATTGTAACTAATGATAAACTATGTTGGACAGGTATCAAATTTATGTTTGAGATTTAATAAATAGTCCCTACCTTGCAACAATTAGCTTTATCAAGAAAAGCAGTATATCACAAATGAATGTGAACAATCACATTTATCCTGAACATTCTTACCTCTACATTCGTTAGAGCCATGCAGGCCATCTTCCCTAAAGATTGGAGTGAAACTTCCTTCAGAACCTCTCTTCCATTTATACTGGACACTATTATCTTTCTTTTATCCCAACTAAATTTTCACAATAATATGGTGAGTAGACTGGCTCTAATATGGTGCATTTCTTCTCTATGTGAGCACTCAGTATACTTAATATAACATGCATCATTCATTTATTGACAGACAAGTTTTGAAAAGATGTGCAGTTATTCACAAGATTTTTTAAATCATATTTTTGCAAATACATGAAATGAAAGAAATAAAAGCAGAATTTGAAGAAAAACAAGCTACACCTCATAATACCTTGACAAAGTGGATTTGGTTTCCATCCATCTCTGGTGCATGTGGCCCAGGGAGCGCCATCTGTACTCCTGTAGTCTGATCCACATGTGTAACTGACAGAGTCACCCAGTCTTTGTTGTTGCCCAGAATCACCCCAGTAATCCAAATACAGAGCTTGTGGATGGCTACATGTAACCTCTAGAAAGAGATATAGACTAACTAATAGGGGCAGATCATCTTCATGTATAAATGAACCGCTGCAAAGCAAGAAACCTTAACCTTGAAATATGTGTATAAAGCAGATGCAGTTTTATACCTTCACACACTGGTCTGATAGTCCAGTCTCCGTCATTTTTGCAAGTAGTCCCAGCGAAGGTGGTCTGAGTGTTCAGAATCCAGTATGCCTCCCCACATGTAACTCTTATCTTCTCACCGGGAGAAAACACACTTCTATAAGCAGGTTCATATGTGGTTCCTCTGAGTGGTGGAAGTGTCAGTTGACATTTTATTTCTGAAATTGTTGAAAGATGAGGCATTTTGACCATTAGTATGTTATAATAAAAGATGCAGTTTGTTAAATGAGATTTGAAGGGCAATTGTGAGTGTGACAGGAACAAACACACAGACACACACACGCACAATATAAACAAATTCCCCTCTTGCCCCCACGGTCATCTACTAAAGGCCTGGGTACTTGAGGGTCCTGCTCAGTGTCTTAGCTGTTCCTAGGACTGCGCCCTTCTAGACAGAGATCTCAGATGTTGTACCTTGGATATGCTTGAGCCACTCGGCCAGCTATGGGGTCACTGCAGTGAGCGCTCCGATTACCGCTGGGACCACTGTTACCTTCACCCTCCACATCTTCTTGAGCTCTTCTCTGAGACCTCAGTACTTCTCCATCTACTTGTGTTCTTTCTTCTTGATGTTGCTGTCGTTCGGTATAGCTACATCTATTACTACAGCCGTCTTTCTCTGATTGTCCACTGCTACTATATCTGGTTGGTTAGCCATCACTAGTTTGTCTGTCTGTATCTGGAGGTCCCAGAAGCAGCTGGTTCATTTGTGCTGCCAGATGCTCATGGAGTGCCGTCAGCTTCTTCAGCAAGTAGGCATGAATCATGTTGGGGCCTGGTGAAGTCCAACTCTTCATTCTGGAGTTCCTCTCATGGATATTTACCTCTGTAATGATTACTGGACCCTGTTCAAGGAGGTTGCTGTGGTATGTTCTTAGATCCACTAGCCACTGAGCATTGCTGTTATGGGTTGCATCCTTCTCCCATATGCTCTTCCAGTACTGCTTTCTATCTCTCGGTTATGATTCTTCAAGCGGCTGGCCAACACTGTGAACTTGGCAGTTCCCAAGGCCTCCTGTCTGCCACAAGAAAGATGATCACATCACATGCCTGAAACCTCCAGGGTGTGTCGCTCCTCCTGTCGCCCACCTGGAGACAGTGTTTACATTGCAATCTGCCTTTCATGGCTCTTTGGCCAGCATCTGTGACATTCAGTAGTAGCCTCATTGTTTTGACACACAAAACAAAACATAAAGCAGCAACCACACTACACACTCTAAACACATTAAATATAAAAAAAACTGTTAAAATTGCTGTTCTCTCATTCACTGGCAAAAATGATTTATTATAATTCTGGTTTTACTTGGCCGATCAACACATTTTAAAAATTGGTATGCAGTTTGAAGTCCTCGCTTTTGACACAGGGTGAAATAAAAACTCAGCAATTGTGGGTCTTGCTGCCATATATTCTTAAATCAATCATGTGATTTAGACGCACCAGCATGTCTGGCAACTAGTGGGTTAAATGACTAAAATCCTTTCAGGTTTTCATGAGTTTTGCTTTCAGCCTTTTTCTCCATGGAGGCCGGCGTCTACATGAAAGTTTTATGTGGTTCTATTAAATTAAATAACGTGCATCGCCACTTTTGATTATAAATATTAAACATAAACAATAAAAATAAGAATCTATGTCAGCTGTATGATGTGATGACGTCTTTCATTTTGCATAAAACTATTCTTAAACAAATGTTGTTTCTGACACAACTCCAAAAAGGATTTGTGTCTTCTCCTGGGAGAGCTGAGTGAATGTGCAAAGCACTGCATTAAAATGAATAAATGTGTCATTGACCAATTAAAAGGCTGATTTCAATCCACTGTTTAAACATCTGTTTGTTACTGTAAACTATTATTAAGACAGAAACTAGTAATAAGACTTTCTTACCATTCTGCTGTAAAGATTCATTTGGATTCAGCCACAGGAGAAAAAGCCAAGAAAGGCCAAAGAGTCTCATTATTCAAATCAGGGATTGCTGTGTTCAGGAAATACTGCCTAAGAAGTCATTCACCTCCACACTTACACAGACTGAACTTTTTTACCACATGAATATGTGCATGCTGTGGAACTTACTCAGGGACACTGGCATTTAACCCTTCCACCTGACACACACACACACACACACACGCACACACACACCACAGCGCCGCACACAATCTACACACACACACACACACACACACACACACACACACACACACACACACACACACACACACAGTGTATTGTTAAAATCAATTATTCAGATTTATGTCTGTTTTCAATTGTTGGGTATAAATATAAGTATACTAAAATGTTTAATATTTATATCAATAAGTATTAGACAAAGTTATAGCACACTGCTGGCACACACAGAGTTGTTCTGCAATTTTTATGTGATTTGTTTACCATTGTCCTTGTCATTCATTTACATGTTTGTTCATGCAGCTCATGTCACTTCCAGTTAAGAAAAATCTTTAGTGGAAAGAGGACAAGGTCATTACATCAATAAATTTCCAAAAGAAGAGAGAAAAAAGACACATGCTCCATCCTCCTACTTTTTATTATATGGAAAATAATAATAATTATTTTTCAAAATAAATAATTGACAATTCAAATAATGAAACTGGCATTTAAACGGTTAAAATCCTGAAATACTGACTGAATGGTTTATCATTTGATAAGGGGTCAACTTTATTAGGTGAAGCAGAAAAGATATTGATCTATGAGGATTTTATGGCAGATTTTGTATAGATCTGCGTGAGGACAGAGCCAGAGATTTGAATGTGTTTTTCAACAGATTTGACACTGCAGTGAATGCTTACCCCTTCTGACTTACCTGTAGCCAGCCTACAATCCACAGGTACACTACACTCTCCCTCTCTCCACCTTGCACCATAGCCTCCTGTGAAAGTCCTGAGACCCCTCCCCCACCTATCACTTTCACTCATGCCCAGGTTTAAAGACAAATGAGAAGACTCCACTCAGGCAAGTCTAAGTAGGGTGAGTCCCTGTGTGCTCACGGCCCGTGCCCCCCAGCTTTGTGGAGTCTTTCATAAACTTTTCATGATGCCAACAGACTCAATAAATATAAATAATAAATATCTCATAATTAGCTTCACATATTTGTGTTTTATACTTTATTGCACATAGTTAATCATTGTAGAGTAGTATTAGAAGTAGATTGCTACACTCAGATACTAACAGACATAAATAGAGAGGAGCTCCCTTCTCTAACGAATTTGCGGGTTAGGGTCTGTCTCACTAGTGAAGGCACCAGAAGGTAAACATGGTCATAAATTTTGGGATTGGAGAAGCTCTTTCTCTCTTTCTGCAAGTCTGACCGAAAGCCACTTGAAGTGGCATCTCCAAATAAGGAGATGCATATTCTATTCTTTGTGATATGACCATATGGGAAACAAATGATCATTTAGCCATTTATTTTTAGCTCAAAATGACAACATTAACACAGTAAAACTGGTCTCTTTCTTAAACAGAAGCCTGTCATGCTTAACTTTTGAGAATATAAGTAAATCTTTCTTTAAAAGAACTCTGTCCTGCTTAACTTAAAATTATATAAATTAATAGAAAGAAAAACATTCTTGTAACAGTGCACATTTAGTGCATTTAGTACAATTGGCTTCAGTTGAGGTATTATTTCAGACACTCATCAGCTGCTCCTGTTTCTAAACCCGCTTGTTCCCATGATTACGCATCTTAACTCATCATCATTATTCATCTATGTATTACTTTTATGTATTAGTCATCTATTTGTTGTAATCATTTATCCTTGCAGTTGTTTATTACACAAAATAAGTTATATTATCACACTTCTGGCCACATAGCGCTGATATTCACTGCACATGCCCATATTAACTTTTTCCAGCCAGGTGTTTTCCTTTTCCCATTCTTCCCTTTCTCTGAGGTGAACAAACATTGCTGCTCTAATGCTGGGCTTACACTGTGCAATTTTTGGCCCATTTTGAGCCGATTTTTGAGTCATGCGACTGTTTTGGTGATCAATCGCTCGTGAGGGTCTCACCGACTGCAGCCGCTCAAACTGCTCACGCGCAAACACGTAAACGTCGGTGAAAAAGACGAAATAGCACAGCAGTGCAGCGTGTGATCTGGACACAAGCGATGGAGGCACAACTTGTAGAACTTTGGAAAGCTCATCCGAGCCTTTTCGATGTGGCATCACAAAATTATCATGACCACAACAACCGTGAAAATAGTTGGATCTACACTGCTGCTCAATCACAGCTACCTGATCAGTGTTTTTCATTAGCAATTTAGCAAAGTTGATGGTGGTGGTGTGCGTGTCTGTGTGAGTGAAAGACAGAGAGAGAGAGCGAGAGCGAGTGACAGATTTTCTGCTATAACCTTCATGTTATGGACGCACAGTGTGAGCTCTCAGGTCGCATCAGAGCATCGGGCGGTATAGTGTGAGACCTGCATCATGACCTACCAACTTCTAACCCCTGCGAGTCAATCGTGCAGTTTGAGCAGGAGCTGAATAACGTGACTGAAAAAATCGCACAGTGTCTGCCCAGCTTTAGGT